TTGTACCAGTATAATCAAAAAATCAATAAAAATTTGTCCCGGTTTTTGCCAAATAAAATATGGCAACCTTATCCTACATAGAAATGAACTAGAAGTATTTAAATTTTAAATCAATATTATATAAAATACATATAATGAAGATTTAAGAGACGAATAATTTCGAGGGTCCTCTAATTTTTTTTGTAAAATATTGTATTATGAAAAAAAATTAAAATAGATTAACAATTTACAAAACCAGCAAGATAAAGATTCTGATTAAAAAATAAACAGAAGTGAGTTTCTTTAAATTTTGAAACAATGCAAGTTATTGTAATGAAAAAACGATTTTAAAGGACACTCAATTAGTTAACTTATACAAATATATGTTTAGTTCTTTATTTAATAATAATATATATTTATTAATGAACACGCTCATAATAGGTAAAGTACTTAATACAACTATTTGTTATTATATTATTATATTAGCTTTAACACCTTAAAATTTGTCTGAAATGTTCTAAAATATTTTATAATTAAAACAATTCAACAAAAATGAATTAAAACATTTTATTTTAAAAATGAATACTAAATAGTTAATATAAAGTGACAAAATTAAATACCCAACTATAAACTAAGATACAGTAATACCTCTGAATTAAACACTGTAAAAAACTGTAATAAACCCTGTAAAATACAGTGACACCTCTAAATACCCGACACTCACGGTCGCTGTAATTTTTCCACTATTTAAAGAAAGACGTTTTATTTTTATTTAATTATAATTATAAATTGAATTAAAATATAAATTAAAGTGATTTAATTTTTACTTGCATTAATTAAATACATACATTTTAAAAATATTTATGAAAAAAATACGCTCATATATGTTCATATTAACCATCACAAACACAACACCAAATACAAATATGATAGCGCGTTGATCACATTTCGTGGACATAATATTTTAACTAGATAAAAATATACCATACTATATAATAATGTATTAAATAAATATAACTTAATAGTGTAAACTTTTATTTATGTATTCCACATTTATTCTTAATTTATGAAAATAACAATTATTATCAAATTCAAAAATTTTAATTATCTCAAAGATTTTCCTATAAAAAAAAAAAGTGAGAATGTTCCTCTTCCCAAAAAAAAAAAATACTTTATTTTTAGGTGTCTATTAAGGAAGGTTTCACTGTAAATACAATTATTCAAATACTTAAAAAAAAAAATTATTAAAGAATTGATCCTGAATTATAAAAATACAAATTAAAAGTTCTAAATTAGTCTTTATGTACCAATCTTGGTATTTCTATTATACTATTTCATTATTTTAAATATTTAATAGTTATAATCAAAATTTACATTCAAATTAAATAGATATAAATTTTTCTATTAAATACTTACACCATTATCAAGCCAACAAAATTGATTAAAATTTCTGGTTTAAAAAATCAACTAACAACTACTTACTTAAATTATTACTATATTTAAGAAAAACAAATAATTACTGTCATCCACTAGCATAAATGACACCAATATCAATGCATAACAATGCATAAGCCTTAATTTTAAGTAATAATATTGTTAATAAACTATTATTACAAATATTACAGTGCAAGTATTATTGTTATTGGTATACCGACCTTATTAGTGTTGGTCATCTTATACAATAATAAGCATAATTTTTATCATGAAAAACATAAAATATGTAGTACCAGGGGTCTATTTTTGAATTTTACATTAGTACACTTATCATATTAGTACATTAAAATATTACGTTTTAGTTCAACTATTAGTGCAAAAACCATATTTTTGAACGATGGCACACTATAACAGTTCTATTAGTGCACTAAAATATTACATAAACTTATTAGAGAGGGTATCTATCATACTAATCGTATTTTAGTATATAAATAAACATTTTTATATATTTTTTACGTGAAAACAATAATACACACATAACAATAATAAAAATTTACATACCATTTATTTGTAAAATCTTTCTAATTTTAATGTATTTATTTTTATAATTATCTGTTCGATAAATTATAAAATAATAAACATTTTAATAATATGGAACATTTGGTTAACTTAAATTACCTCCAATTTATCAAATTAATAAATTGTCGAATATACAGTTTGATTTCATATAGCTGAGGATCCTATTATTATGTTAAATTAAAAATGTACAACAGTATATATTTTAATTTTATTAATAAGTAATTAATTGCCCATATTAATAGATAAGATACAGATAAATATAATATTACATTTATTATTGTAGGTATGACTGAAAGAGAATGTGTCAGTAAATTTAGGTTAACTAAAGCCTTCATAAGTTTGTTAATAAACTAATTGCATCCCTATCTTCAACCATCTAAAAAATCAGCTACAAGTATCAAAACGTAATGTAAATAAATACCTATGTAGTATGTATAATTTATAATATAATACCTATATATAATTGTATTTAAAATATAAAAAAAAATGGGAAACTTGCTCTGTTGTATAGAAGGGGTGGAATGGACCTGGGTCATAGACTAGGTCACTGTAATGGATGTTAAATTTTAATTCAATAATAAGTATCATTGTGTACAAAAAATGATTCCGAATGGAAATGATATCACTATTTAAAAAAAAAAAAAAACAGTACCATTAAGACTATTACTAAGAAAACTCAAAAATTGCAGTTCTCTATTTTAGTAGTTTTGTAATAGTTTCTCATGATAACTATGAATTTTTCATTGTAAAAGTTGGTCCAAACTTTTTAGTACACAATTTCAGATGTTTATAAACAAAATCAATTAGTAATGTCTTTTGTTCATACATCACACTTTTTGATTTTGATTTTTTTTCCATCTCAGAAATAATATTTACTTATATAATTGTACTTAAAATTGAATTGTAAATTGTAATCAAAATATTTTTAATTCAATAAAAAAAAGTATTTTTTTTTCAAATTAATCTTGTTATCAATATTAATCACTGAAAAATATAATGACAAAATCAATTATAATGTATATTTTACAGTATTGCAAATATAAAATTTAAAAATACATCTATAAAAGATTTGTTTAAAAATGAAATATTTAACAATATTCTTTTAGTGTATAAAATATTATATCAAAAAAATATTTTATTCAATTATTGATGTGCACTAAAAATGTTGTCTAATTTTTTAGTGTACTAAAGCTTTGGCTAATGATTAATGTGAATTCAAAAATAGACCCTCTGGTATAATACCTAGGTTAGTTAAATAATATAATTAATGATCTTTTAAATATACAGTTCAAACTCTCTGTACAACAAAAAAGAATATATATTCAACATATTTATTGTATAATATTATTTTATAATTTTATTGTATTTCAAAGTTTTCAAAAGTATAACAAAATATTATTTTAGAAACTTTTTATGTGTATTTCTATTAAACAAATGAATTCCAAAGAAACTTCAAGTTCCTTAAATAGAAGTTTGACCTATTTGGTTTTGATTTAATTCTTAAAATAAATTATAATAATTTAAATAAAATTGATATATTTATATAAAAATATAATGTGTATTTATATTTATTATTTTAAATAATAAAGTTGTAAGTGATTAAAATAACTGACATAATTAGCAAAAAAAAAAAAACAACAACTATAAATAGGTATCTCAAAAATCAAAAAAGAAGCTAGAAAACTAAATTAAAACTAAATTTTTGTAAAATATTGTTGATATATGTACTTATTTTATAGCCTATTTTATTTATTCAAACAATTTTTTATTAAAATAATTTATATTTAAGTAAATTACACATTACAAGTCTAGTAAATTAACTAATGATATCATTATAATATGTATAAAAGAAGATATACGTATAGAAGCAGATTTATATGAATACACTTATAAATTTAGTTTAGATAACCAATAATAATAATCAAACAGATATAGGTTATCTAAAAGTACCTAACTATATAGTATTAATATCCTTTCTTAATTATATTAAACGTCTAAATATTTATAATGGATATACGAGTAGGATTTAAATTATGAACACATAATTATGAAAGGAAATTATAGCTTAAACTTGTTATAGAAAATAACATTTATGTACCAATACATATCAAGTTACATATATATCTGAAAACTGTTAACATTTTACAATAAACTTGTAAACTTGATTTTCAATGATTTTCAGATACTTCTGATAATTTGTAATACACTCTGGATGCCATTCATATTCTGAATACTATTTAGACACATCTCCGTAACCCGGATACACATAATAATTAGTTAGTGATTATAAATAAAAAAATGTAATTGCTAGCCCATTAAACTATTTAGTAAACTTAATTGATATGACGAAATATTTAAAATAAAAGAAAAATAACGTTTACGAGAAAAAAATGACTTTGGAATCAGACAAAACAAAAAGAAACTACAAGTTTTTCTTTGAACACCATTACTTATTATCACTGAATTTTATTTATATTTTAATGTCCCTATCACATAACACATTTCATACCAATCATATTATTATTATCAGTAATAAACGTACTTCTTACAGCCCTAAAGGTGCATGTAAAAGCGTGACATTATCAATATTTATTGCGGAAGAAATCTTAATACGATAGAAAATCAATCCACCATCTAAGTTATGTACATTTTCTTAAAATGTACTTGTCTAAGGCTGGGTTTGATTTTCTAGCTCCAAAAACCAAACGACAAGTGAAAGTCTCGAAGTGTAAAGCCGCCTACCTATTGTCGTTTTTGACATTGTCGAGGATCATTCGTTCCAAAACTAACGAGACGACATACTATACAATCGACCATGGCGCGTTAGGTTAGGCGTGCCTCGTGATTTTTCACAAGCTATTGCGGTCGTCGTATCGTTTTCGTACGACTGTTATCGTAGTCGACCAAGGTTGAAAAATGTGTACTGTGAAGTGGTTGAAACCCAAAATGGGATCTAGTCGTACATAGCTCACAAGAAATTTTCTCTGTGCATTTTAGAAAGTACTCACCGCAATCAGCGATTCCTTGGAGACCCCATGCAAAGGGAACCGGCCAAATGGCGATGAAAGGCATATGGACGTAAGACATGTAGGCGGCAGCGGGCTCTGTTTCTGCGTTTTCGAAGATACGAGATAAACTAGCTCACAGATTGCGACGCGACGAAGAAGACCGCAATCGGAAAAAATGATGAAAAACGAAAAAGTCGCGTTCAGGGAAAACGATAAGAGAGCAAACAGTAAGATAAGAATTGAAGGAGAAAAGAAAACGGACGCCGACCGACTGGCAGATCCTCACGGGACGCAGCGAAACGGTTGCTGCGGAGACGGACACGGAGAGAACGTTACTCGAACCCGTTACATTTCATCCGAACGTCGGGTAAGCCGATAGTCGCGATAGCAGCGCCACCAGTACCACCACCACCACCACTACCACTGCCACGACCAACATCTAGCCCACAGCTGTTGCCGTAAAACAGGTTATAACGACGACGGCGATGACACGGCGGCTGCGGGCGAACAAGTGGTTAGCAAAGAGGCACTCGGCCCCGGCCCGGAGGACTAGTTGGTGTTCAATACGACCGTTGTGCGCTCAGTGTGGCCGGCCGCCGGGGACGTTCGCTACCGCACGTGTTCGCTCTCCTCCGCCTCGAAATTCGAATTATTATGCGTGCGCGCACACGTGGATGTCTCCAACAGTGTTTTGTTTTTTTTATAATTTAAAAAAAAACGTTTTTCTCCGTCTCTCTTTTCTTCGGACCATCATTGACGTATCACGTCTCCCCCTGACGAGCCGAGTTCCGAGCAACCTGCGCGAAGGTTGCACGGTCTTAACGATAGAAAACAAATTTCCGGGAGTCTTTATTTGTCAACAACCTAATTACCCGACGATAGACGTATTTATAAAATCAATTGCACAATAATTGCTCGAAACAATGTACGAATATATTCGAAACTTAAATTCCAAAACGAACAGATCGACAGTTATGTTTGACACCACGGAAGACGATCGAGAATTCGAGAACGTATAGCAAAGCTGCATGGTTCACAAATCACTGATTTTATTTATATATTGATTTCGATAATATTTTTCGAATAAAATAGAAATAATAAATACACCGAGAGACTAGTTAAATATTAAGTATATTTGAAATTATCTCCGTTAAAGAAGTATCATACTATTGACATTTATGTAGCTTATTCATTCAGTTCTGGGTTCAAAATCCCGTGGATTTTGGGGCCCAATGCAAGACTTTACAGGGCCCCCTATAATTGAATACATAATCTCTAAAATAATGAAAATAAATTTTAATTTTAATTTTAACTATTTTATTCAAATTTTAACCTTGGGTATTAATTTTTTTTTATTCGAATGCTTGCAGTAGGCATATATTTGCAGGGCCCCATGGCGCTCACTCCGGTTCTGTCCAAAAATCATATGAACAATATTATATTCAATATTCGATACAACAAATTTACAGTACATAAAAAAAAATCATATGTCTATATTAAATCTGTACAGTTTCGATCAGCACAAACTCGAATTTACGACAAAAAATAATTATAATCATAATATATATAATTAAAATATATGAATAAATTAATTAAATAATAACCGTAACTTCAAACGACACAGACTAATACACACTATATTTACTAGATAGGAAAATTAAAAAAATCATAAAATAGTATTGAATACCTAAATGCATGTTTTAAAAGACTGGCTACAAACCAATTTTCATATACATTGAAAAATTCGGGAAAATTTATTTTGCAAATACAACCAAGATGATTTAATTTTAATGAGTTCGTGTAATTTGAAGATTTTTTTTATATGATTTAAGAATAGTGTAAACGTGTACAAGACCTTAGTAATTTAAATAAAACCATTTGGCCCAACAAATGTATAGATGAGCGACGACCACACTTAAAAAGAAGAGGTCTGGAGCTGCGCAATATTGCCTCGGTCGCTTCAATAAACCAAATCCGTCACTGCCTCTCCCCTCCCGACTGTTAAATTCCAAAACATGACACTGAATACGAATAAAACAAATGCCGTCGTGCCACATGTGCACGGCCAGCAGTCGATGATAAACGACGTCGGATGGGAAATTTACATTTATAACTTACCAGAAACGCGTATCTCCCGGATTTCTTCGGTGGTTAATCCTCACATGAATATCGGTGGGGCATGTTTATAGTTAACTGTTTGTTAAAGCTGTTTCTGCAAATAACATAAATTTCATTGAAACATGGTGCAACGTGTCTGTGTAAGTCGAAGAATTACGTTTCTCGATACATTTCTCATACGTTTCTCATCACACGATACCGATCATCCAGGGGCGTTACGAAGAAATATATTTTTAGGGGGGCAACCAAATCCATTTGGCCGACTGACTATTAAAAAAGAAAAAATATTTTTCATACATGTATATAATATGTTTTTATTTTAAATTTTATATTTTTTAACTGTACAATATTGTCAGTATTCTTAAGTTAAAATTTAAATTTAAAATTGTTATTTATACAAAAATAAAATTGAATTTTGTAGGATGAACTTACAACAAATAAAGCAATGGTTAAATTTTTATTTATTTATTTATTTTAGTTGATCATTGTTTGGCTATAACATCTAACTTAATATCATCAGTTATTATATAAATTATATAACTATGATTGCATCAGATAAGTTCAACTGATTCAAAACACACAACTTCATATTTTATATAACATTTTTCATAAATAGAATACTTACAACAAAGTCTATAAAAATTAAACGTTTTGATAAAGAATAAGCTGCATTCTTGGTGGATTTATTAAATTTTCCTTTGGAATTTATTATCTCATCGAAAACTTCAATAATATTAATAAATTATGATGACCAAACAGACTCAATTGCATTCACATGTGCTGCTCATCCCTTTGACAAATTTCTTAATTTCATTGCAATTTCAATATCAGCTTGATTATTCAGTAATGGTGAATATCGTTGTGTACTCAAAGAAAAAAATACATAAAATTCTTGTATTACTAGAAACAAATCGGGTTCCTATAATAAGTCTAGTCCCGCATCCATGTTCAATAAATGTGTGTATTCTATGTAATCGACATGGAATATAAGGTACTTTTCTACATAATCATACGACTGACAACAAGAGTATCAAGATTAGCTCATTCTTTTGCAATGTTTCTAATAAGTCATTTATCATTCCTACGCTTGTCTTATTTAAAGACTTGTACTGCCAACTTACAAAATTTATCGTGGGGCAGTTAAAAATTGGGGGTCCAACAAATATCCAACTATATCCAAAAAGCCTACCTAAACATTGTTGAGAGATTTTTGAAAAGTTCTGATAACATTGTAATGCTAACTTCACGGCCCTTAATTAAAGGCTTAAAAAATGTTTTCCTAAGAATAACATTTTTTTTTTTTTTAAAAAAAAAACTTAAACATATAATAATAAGAATATAATAATTATATAACTTTAACATGTTAAAAGACTTTTTGAGTGCAAACGCTTAGAAGGTATTTAAAATCATAGATAACTAGGTATTTGACTTGAAAAGGTGAATTCAATATTTTAACAATTATTACCTGGATAAATACATTGTAATTTTCGAACTCCTCTTTAAACAGTTTGGACAACAGTCAGAAAACAGTTGAAAATCTAAAACATCAAATGTTGTGGTTACTCGTTAGCTCGATTAGCACACAATTCTTCAACGTTAAAATAGAACGTTATAAATAATTTATACGTTAAGTAGTTCGTATAATTATCGTTGTATAGACGGCAAATATAATCAGACGTGGTGACGACTGACGATGTGATAGCTGCTTGCAATATCGGGGTAATGATTAGTCATTATTTTAAATTTAAGAAATGCGATAATGTTTCTAGGAATCTGATTTATCAAACCGTGCGGCTTGCCATACCGATCGACGTTAATGCATAGTATATGCATTGCATAAATAAGGTAACCATATATTTTTCTAGTCAAAACGGGACAAAAAAAATTTATCTTCATAATTTTGATTACAAACAATTTTTTTTTTATATACCTATGTTTAATAATCATTAACAAAATTAAATACTATTATGATTCTAAAGAACAAAAAAATGTAACTAATTAATTACACTTATTAATAAGTCACTCATTTTAATTATAAACAACTGTATATATAAATTTTAATATATAAGAAAGCGTCTCATATAGAAAACGATTTAACGATTACTGTAACACAAAAATAATTAACTATGAAAAATAATTTTGTGTTTGAACTGATATTACGGTATTTTTATATTATATTATAGATAATATAATTTCTGGATTAAATTAATATAATATTTTGTCCATCATATTAAATTAGGTTTAATATCAATTTATAGTTAATAGGACTAATTTAAACAATGTCTCTGATGTCTTCGATGTTTCAGTTAAAACTTATTTATATATAATACCAACATAATTTACTAAAGTTTCGTATGTACAATAATGCTGATTGAGTGTTAATCTTTAAAAATTCTAAGTCGAAATGATTGGTTATTTATTTGTCCAAGCTGTCTGTAGTTATTGCATTGGTGAGGGTGGTTTTTTTAAGTGCTAAAACGCCTGAAGGGAGGGTTTCCGTCCCAAATTACTTTTTTATAGTTGTATCATTTATTTCTTTGTGTAATGTTTTTCAACATACCCCATCATACCCCTAATATACATGAAATATGATATAATATTTATGTAATATAAAACAAGAAAATGTTAAATTATTAGGATGATTAATAAAATTTTGTCATTTCACATTTATACAAATTAACTATTCATAATAACTATATGTATATACAGTAGATATTGCTATTCAATGACACTTCTCGAGACACAAAAATGTAAAAACGTAATATTTTTCAGAATATAGTAAATGATATAAATAGCTGTTATTAAATACGTACTCGTATATGTATGTGTATTACACATACCAACTAGTAACAGAATATGGCTTTGTTTGGTGCTTCACGCTTTCTTTCACGGTTGTCATACATTGTAATAAATTATTATTTTGTAAATCAATTGATATTTATCGATTTATTAAATACGTGCACATTTATTAT